GAAAGACCAAGACAGACTTTTAATTCATTTTCAAGCCTGATGCTTAACCTTGTCCACCTCAGCTGTAAAACTGATTGTCAAAATTGACTGAATTTTCCATGTGCATATGTGTAACATGTCATCAGCTTTGCGTGCTATACGGAAAAAACAACAACAACAGTATTGGACAAAGTATTCCAAGACAAAAGCTGGAATACTTTGTGCATCTACATGTCATCATTGTTAGTGCCAAAATGTTCACAGTATCATTTGCTGAGCCCTCAGGTTTCAAGGAAATGTGTGTGAAAAGATTAGTCTGCTAACAGCTGGTGTTGTTTGGACTGTGTTTCTGTTCACCTTGGTGTTATCACATGCTTTATTAATGGGGTCTTTTCCATAAATGTGACCAACACTGATGACAAGCATCTCTATGCTCTAAAACAAACAAACAAAAAAACAGTTAACCAGTTCAGGGTTGCAAGGGTCTCAAACATAATATTTTCTATTAGAATGCTGAGTTTAAAAAGAACAAGGCAGCAGATTATCTTTTATATTTTCCTCAAATTAATGTGGTAACAAAATGAACTCAGGCATATGAAATAGTACAAATGAAAAGAGTTGATTCACCACACAATGTGATCAGATTATTATTAAAACACAGGAAGTGTGAGCAAAATTATGGGAAACAAATTTAAAGGTTTAAATAGATCTAGATGATAAATTGAAGACAAAAAGATCTTCATTTTATAATATTCTACTATCATTACAATTTAATAAAATTAAAAAACATTTCTCAAAGCGACATTTTTTGTTGTCTTCACATTATAAAACATCTAGCATAGGCAACAACAGTAACAGCATGATCTTTTTTTTTCTTTTTTTTCTCTTTTTTATTCTCTTTTCTTTTAAAAGAGAGTTGTTTAAAGGTTTAAAGTTTTTCTCCTAAATAGAAATCATTACAGAACGCCTAGTCCTACTTAAAATCCCATTCATTTTTCGCTACATGCTAGCATCTCGCTAACCGAGCTACCCTTTACATGCTGTGCTTTAGAAAATAGGATACTTGGTACAAAACCATACTCCGCAGATATTGATAGATAGACGAACACTGCAAATATAATGTTGGAAACGAGAACGGCCAGACCATCTTGATTGAATGTAACTTCGCTCCACACAAGTTTTGTGGTAGACATATTCATATTGGTATCTAATAAATGATTAATTCTTAGATTTTATCGAACGTTAATTTATAAATTGTTTCTGTCTTTATGTGTTTGTTTCAGATAATGCAAGATGAAATTATTCAGTCAGCAAGACGCTGCAGTTGCTGACATCATCCAAC